AATATAAATGCCATGAAAGCAATGTATACTGTCAAAAAAAAGAACTATCTATCTATATATCAAGAGAAATACCCTTCACCCTGCTTTCATTTATGCCAACCTGAGATACAAAGATCCAAGTAATTTGTGTACCTTCCCTGTACAGAGCTGAAGGGAGATAACTGCAGTGTTTAGTAAAGGTGAAAATGGGGTCAACAGACACTCAGCACAACCTTCCCTGGGTGGCCTGTGTGTCTGCGTGAATAGAGAGGAGCACGTACACACACACAAACTCACATCTATTGGTAAACGGAGAAACAGTTGAACGGCTCTGACCCCGGTACCAAAGTTGCATTCATTCTCTGTCTGGGAAAAGACAATGACCAAAACCAAGGATGCTAACTTAAGATTAGGCTTGCTTTTACCCAGAGATCAAAGGTCAAGCATCTTTTTGTCTCTCGCCACTGTGTGCGTTTAACACATCCAGTAAAGAGAGAGGAAGCAATCAACGCTTCAGAACAAGGGAAAGGAATGTGCGTGATGCTATTATACCAGTTCTCTGTCTCTCAGACACATTGTCTGTCCTCTCTCGCCCGTAAAACACATGAAGATATAAGACGCACAGGCAATGAGCAGTGCCACGTAGCTGCTGGACAACAATGGACCGGAATGTCATGTGTCTCTAAAGGACATCTGTGGATGGACCGAAAGCTGTGAAGCAGTGATGGAAGCAGTGAATGTTATCAAGTCACATTCTACCATTCATCAATCAGCATTTTTTAGTACAGTTGTAAAGGGATAGTTCACCCCAAAATGAGCACTGGCATTCTTTACTCGCCTTCATGTTGCTTCAAACCCTTATTGTTCTTCTATAGTGCAATTTTATTAGTAACTAAAGGGGTAACACTTTATAATAACTTTCATTAATAAATCATTAACAAACATTATATGATGATTAATGGATCATTAGTTAATATACATTCAAAGAGTTAGAAACATGAGATAATGTGCTTATTAATGTTTGCTAATAAACTTATTAAACACTAGATAATGTTCAAACAAATCATAATTTCATGTAAGTTAAAATGCTTACAAATGTCATTAAACTTTCAATTCCATATGATCAAGCACTTATTGAAAATCTACAAATGTTAAAATGATTAAAAGGTTGTGTTAATGCACAACACTTGCTGCTATTGAGGTGTGATACGGGTAAGGTTAGGAACAGGAACAGTGTTCAGGGGTCAATTAGATTATTATAAGAGAACACAGTTCAATCTGTTTATATTATATTGTTTTGATAAATGAACAAGTATTTTCTTTTAAAAAATTATTTGCTTTCCCCTGTTTATTTATGATTCAATATCCTGTAATATACTAATGTGAGTGTTGAGGCAATAAAAACTTTTTTTTGCACCAAAATTACAATCTGTTATGTCTTTAGCAAGCATTTAGCTAAACTTAACCAGCCACCCTTTACAAAAACCTTGTTACGTTAGCTAAAATTCCAGTGCCCATAAAGATACTAAATGATTAGCAATCGTATATAAACATTTACAAATGATGAATAGTTTCCACTTTAGATTGGCTACTGCAAAAACATGTCAATAACAAAGGCCTGAGGAAGACCTTAGGGTCGAAACGTTGTGACTTTAATAAACTTCGTTTTTGAGAGCCGTATTGGCAGTGTGCCAATTTTTGTTTATTGACAGTGAAGTGCCCCATGTGATCGAGCACCTGCCTAAAGTTTTTGGATGTGAGGATATTACACTTTGTTTACTGCAAAAACATGAACAAATGATTAATAAATGATTAGTAAAATGGGTAGGTTTAAGGGTTGGTTAAAGGGTCAACAGTGTACAAGGGTCAATTTGATTATTATAAGGGAACATGGTTCAATCTGTTTATATTATATTGTTTTGATAAATGAACAAGTATTTTCTTTTAAAAAATTATTTGCTTTCCCCTGTTTATTTATGATTCAATATCCTGTAATATACTAATGTGAGTGTTGAGGCAATAAAAACTTTTTTTTGCACCAAAATTACAATCTGTTATGTCTTTAGCAAGCATTTAGCTAAACTTAACCAGCCACCCTTTACAAAAACCTTGTTACGTTAGCTAAAATTCCAGTGCCCATAAAGATACTAAATGATTAGCAATCGTATATAAACATTTACAAATGATGAATAGTTTCCACTTTAGATTGGCTACTGCAAAAACATGTCAATAACGAAGGCCTGAGGAAGACCTTAGGGTCGAAACGTTGTGATTTTAATAAACTTCGTTTTTGAGAGCCGTATTGGCAGTGTGCCAATTTTTGTTTATTGACAGTGAAGTGCCCCATGTGATCGAGCACCTGCCTAAAGTTTTTGGATGTGAGGATATTACACTTTGTTTACTGCAAAAACATGAACAAATGATTAATAAATGATTAGTAAAGATGTGTGAAGAGGGTAGATTCAGGTCTTTCGGGACACTTTTTGCCATTGAGATGACTGCTCATAAAGGTATTAATGATTAGTAAACATTTATTAACATTTGCAAATGATGAATAGTTTTCACTTTAGATTGGGTACTGCAAAAACTTAAACAAATAATTAATAGATTATTTGTTAAGATGTGTAAATAGAGGTCTACACAACAAACAAAGACCAACAAATGAAGATCATATGAACTGAACGTTTGCTGACATTTGTAAGCATTTCAATTTACATTCAATAATCTTATGTTAATCATTAGATAATGTTTAGTAAGTTCATTAATAAACATTAACAAGAACATTGCCTCATATTTCTAGCTATGTGAATATATAGTAACTAATGATCTTTTAAGCATTATATAATGTTTGTTAATGATTTATAAATTAAAGTTATTTGTGTTACCCAATTATTTACCCCTTTTTTAACATAACCGTTTCATTCTTTTTTGTGTGACTTCTGGTGCTGCATTCAACACGTTTCAGGAAAAAAAAATCTATAATAGTATAATGTAACTCAAAAAGATATTTATAATAAAAATATATATTTATTTTGTACCTTTCTAAAACGTACATTTCTAAAACGTAAATACTTTTACATTTTAGGTGCGGTCAATAAAGTAAGTTTTAGAAAATAAATGAATACTTGACATCAAAGACATCATTTCAAATATCTATTTCAAATAAACATTGCTCTATTCAGCAGTGTATCCTGAAAAAATCTTTAATGTTTGCTATTAAGCAGCACAACTGTTTTCAACATTGACAATAATAAGAAATGTTTCTTCAGCAGCAAATCAGCATGTTAGAATGATTTCTGAAGGATCATGTGACATTGAGGAGTAGAAATTTTAAATTGTAGTAGCATTGTACAATAGTACCGTTTTTTGTTTTTTTTTGATCCAATAAATGCAGCCTTAGTGAGCACAAGATACTTCTTTGAAAATCATAGGGGGAAAAAAACTTACCAACCCCAAACTTTTAAACAGTACATTGTACAATATATTCCAAATGTACAAAATTATGTATAAATAACTACAGTATCAATCAGGTTGGCTCTTTTCCATACAAAAAACAAAAATATAAATAATACTCATGTACACTGCCATGTTAAGACGTGACACACTAGGCTTGATATCAATGACACCAAACAGAATAAGTTTGTGTATCTTGTGACCAATCAAAACACTTTAAGTTTGAATATGTGAAAGCGTAACTGAGATTGTCAATTTTAGAGCTGATTCACATACACTTGGTATGTCCAAAAAAGTTATAGTTAACTACTATAACATAACAGATGCTTTAAGTGACTTTCCAACAATAAAAGTGCTCTAAAGTTCCAAAATTAGCTAGAAACAATACACAGAAATACAAAAATGAAAGTGTGCCTGAGATTTCATCCATGATTCAAAGCTAAAAATCTGATTCTGTCATAGCAGCTCACAGTGTCATTGATTAGCTTAGCTTAACCAGTGACACAGATACTGTGACTGCTGTGTTTGTCAAAACTGTTTGCACTCATTCAGTCCTTTGTCTTGTGTGTTTGAGGAGATGCCATCTTATGTCAAAGAGTCAAACGCAAGTGACCTACAAGTCAACTCAAAGGATGGAGAGCTGAGAAAAGACTTTTGTAAAGTCAACATCAGAAAGGAAAGTGGAACGGTGAGTTTAGATAGTCGGGCAACACTAAAAGAATGGAAGGCTATAGGTTAATCTGCTCTACTTAGCCTCTGTACACAAATGACTGGTGAAGGATTAGCTCGATTAACCCAACACACATTCATAAGATAAGTTAATAGGCTGTCAGATGATCCTGTAGCACTTGATCGCAATGTCACTGAACAACATTCGCTTGTTATTAGCTTGTTATGGGACATACAAAGACTTACGTAAAATTATCATTTCATTTTAAGCAGATGTAATATAGCACAAGTTGGCCTACAAATGGTTCCACAAAAAATATTAAGCAGCACAACTGTTTTTAACATTGATAAAATATCGCATGCGATTTATCGTGCAGCCCTAATATATATATATAAAACTTGCAATTCTGATAAAAAAATAAATAAAAATTGCAAATTTAATAGTATATTAAATTATTTCCGCAATGGGATAAAAAAAAAATGCACGGTATTGCGACTTTTTATCTCAGTTTATATATAATACGAACTATGATATAAACTCACAATTGCATGAAAAAAAAAAACCTCACAATTGCCTTTATTTATTTATGTATTTATTTATTTTTTCCCCATGGCAGAAACAGGCTTCCATAGAAAACGGTTATTTTAAATGGTAATAATATTTCACAATAAAACTGTTTTTACTTGTTGCTGCATTGTTGTTTTTTTTTTTTTTTTGTGGGACATGCAAAGTCATCATTGCGCTTGTGTAAAAATATCATTTAAATCAGGTGTGAAGATGTGCAAATTGGCCTAGTTGAAGATCCAACTTAGCTTTAAACTAAAGTCCTCAGCTTCTGCTGCTGAAGGATCATGTGACACTGAAGACTGGAGAATGGCTGCTGAAAATTCAGCTTTGCCATCACAGGAATAAATTAACCTTTTAAATATATTCAAATTGAAAAGTATGGAAGCTTGTTTCTGCCACAAGATAAAAAAAAGAAAAAAAAAGGTAATTTCACAAAAAATAAATCAGAATTGTGAGATAGACTCAGAAGTTTATATCTCACAACTTTCTCGAGTTTATATCTCACAACTTTCTCGAGTTTATATCTCACAATTCAGATTTTTTTCCCTCCTCAGAATTCTGAGTTTATATCTTGCAAATTTCTTCTAGGTAACTGCCATGGAATAGAAAATATATTTTTTTTAAATGTGACTATTTTTGCAATTCTGACTTTATCTCTCACAATTTGGTCTTTTTTTCACAATTGCGAGAATCAGAATTACGAATTTATATATA